AAAAACTGGTGATCAATTATATGAAGAACGTACACGTTTTTAAAATATATTTAAAGTGCATTTTATTAATATTTGTATATAAATAAATCGAAGAGAAATATAATAAAGTAATACTTTTATATTTATGTATGTATATAAGTATGTATTTATGTATGTTTTAACCCCTAGCTTGACCATTGTAACCATCACATATTAAACCGCCTCCTCTATTGTTTACAGGACCAACAAATTTTGACTCTGTCTATATGTGTATATTTTTCTTTGTTTTTACCAACGTGAGATCGCGGGATATTACCTGCATGCTGATGTATTCCTTTACTGACATCAAATGTATCATTAGTATCTCTAACAATTTCTTAGAATTGTTTTGTTTTTCAGCGTTTGCTAGAATGATAACTTGAAAATATAATTAAGATTATCGCAAAGAATATTTTCTTCATGTTATCAGTTATTAAAATGAACTAGTCATCTCATCTAAAAGTCGCGCATTCTTTATATATAGACATCATCATAGCAGACATCAAAAGACGGGTATTCCATAACGAGCAAAAATATTTACACTGAAAATGATACATGCTTAACATTACGAAAATAAAATTACGTTTTTTCGTAATATTTATGCAATTTCTTGTATAATACGAACCACGAAGCATTTCGATTATTTTCAGTATATAAACCTAATTCACATCATATTATATGAGGACTGGTTCATATATAAACCAGTGTTGCCAATATTTTTCCACCATTTCCCGTTTAAAACCATGTCAAAAAACCGCCAGCTTAATTGTTTTTGCAAAAGCAGCTAGAAAACGTACAATTTAAACTGGATGTTTTTCAAAAAAAAAAAAAAAAAATACAAACTGTGCAATTAGTGATTGGATTCTGCACTGAATTTGTCACAAATTGTATAGGATTACTTCCACAACACTGATACATTGATCGCCTATTTGAACTGATCATTTTTAAAATAAATCATCTCTTCTAAATAATACAAATGCGCAAGTTTGTGCCCACGTATTTCATGAATCCCCTTATTGAATTTCGACTATTGAATAGGCAACCGAAAGTAGTCCTGACTATATATTAGACTATAGGACTGAACCATAGACTAGACTATAGACTAGACTATAGACTAGACTATAGACTAGACTATAGACTAGACTATAGACTAGACTATAGACTAGACTATAGACTAGACAAGACTAGGACCTATAGACTAGACTATAGACTAGACTATAGACTAGACTATAGACTAGACTATAGACTAGACTATAGACTAGACTATAGACTAGACTATAGACTAGACTATAGACTAGACTATAGACTAGACTATAGACTAGACTATAGACTAGACTATAGACTAGACTATAGACTAGACTATAGACTAGACTATAGACTAGACTATAGACTAGACTATAGACTACACCATAGACTAGACTATAGACTAGACTATATACTAGACTATATACCAGACTATAGACTAGACTATTGACTAGACAATAGTCTAGACAATAGTCTAGTTTATAGACTAGACAATAGACTAGACTATAGATTGGACTATAAACTAGACTATAGACTAGACTATAGGCTAGGCTATGCACTAGACAATAGACTAGACTGTAGACTATACTATAAACTAGACTATAAACTAGACTATTGACTAGACAATAGTCTAGACTATAGACTAGACAATAGACTAGACTAGACTATAGACTAGACTATAGAGTAGACTATAAACTAGACTTTAGACTAGACTATAGACTAGACTATGGACTAGACAATAGACTAGACTATAGACTAGACTATAGACTAGACTATAGACTAGACTATAGACTAGACTATAGACTAGACTATAGACTAGACTATAGACTAGACTATAGACTAGACTATAGACTAGACTATAGACTAGACTATAGACTAGACTATAGACTAGACTATAGACTAGACTATGGACTAGACAATAGACTAGACTGTAGACTATACTATAGACTAGACTATAGACTAGGCAATAGGCTAGACTATAGACTATAGAGTAGACTATAAACTAGACTATAGACTAGACCATAGACTAGACTATGGACTAGACAATAGACTAGACTATAGACTACGTGAAAAGACGTCAAAAATCTCCAAATATTGGTTAAAAGTCGCCAAATTTCCCGGTAGCCGCTAAAAACGCATTTTGTCGCGCAATTGTCATTTCAAAAACGTCAGATTTGACGGAAAAAACGTCAAATTGGCAACAATGTATATAACCTCTCTTCTCTCTTTGTCTCTTTCAGAAAAAAAACGTATTCAAACAAAAATTCTCACGGAAGTCTAAAAACAATTTTTTTCTTGAAAATTTAAGGTCCCAAAGCGAAAGCAATAATTAGTGAATATTTGACCTCCATACCAAAATGAAATTTGACAAAAATAATTTCCATATTTATACCCTACACCACTTTAGTGGGGAGGGTTTGTGCTGATGTTTGTAACGCGCAATAATATTGGTCCTATACTCACCTTAGAATCATTTTCTGAAAATTTAGTAATTATCGTTTATTGTCTCAGTGACGGTCTCCATTTTGAAGATTCAATTCAATGAAATTTTACACATGATCTTCTATTGTACTAGAAACGAATCCTTTTGAAAATGGTTAACATCGCTCCAATATTTGATCTAGCGCCCATACAACTGAACCCCCCGATTAGGACTTTTAAGTTTGTTAATTATGTTCAATATATTCGTATCTCGACAAAAAGCTGCAAAACCAAGGTCTTTATGACCCTGATGATTTTTTTGATGATAGGGCCTCATTTTGACCCTAGCCCCTATACAAAGACCCGTTCGAAATATGACTTAATGTACACAATTTTATTCAACAAAAATGGCTAAAGTATATCTGAGACAAGGTACAATTCAACTTAAATGCTTTATTATGAACACTAAATCACTTTTGGTTTTATAACTGGTGTAGGGTATTATATGGTCGGTCTCGCCCCACTATAACTTCTTACTTGTTTTTTTTTTTTTTTTTTAATTAATGAATGAGATCACTGATAATATCTCAATTAGTATTCGATTTTTGTTATAGAAAACTTGAAGTCCCATGACGAAAACTATAAAATCATGATCACTAATATGTTTTGATAAAATTATTTGTATTATTTGTAGTCAACAGGAGATCCAAAATACATATTTTGGAAAATATTTTAAAACAAATCAAGAAAGTTTATAAAATCTCTTTTACAATTAAATATAATCAATTTATCCTTAATATACACAGATTATTTTTATTTACGTAAAAAATATTATTTTATATTACATAAAATCTTAACCGTAATATCCTCCGTATCCTCCATAGCCGCCATAACCTCCACCATAACCGCCATATCCACCATAACCTCCTCCATAACCACCATAGCCATGATGACGCGCTATACGAATATGTTCATCATTATTGCCGGTACGGATATGTTCGGCGTTGTCAGCACTTATACGTTTAATATTCGTATCATTATGAACTGAGGCTTCTGCTCCTAACAATGATTTTAGATTTTTATTGTCGATGGGAGAACTGAAGCAAATGGCCAACGAGCACAGGACTAAAGCTGCTATAAACAGTTTCATGTCGAAGATATTTAAGTATTTGTTTTACTTTGTAACCGATTTACTAAACGAGGTTGTTATTACTTCTAACTAGAATTGAGCACTATAGATTGTTGCCAAAAATTACCTTATTTTATAGGATTGTAATAAAAATTAAAAATACATTTATGAATATATCATGCTAAAAGTACTTAAACCAAATTTTAGAAAAAAATTGTTGTTGTTTATTTCAGAAAAAAAAAAAAGTGCAAGTAATACAGTTTTTGCTACTTTCATTTTTATTTTCGACAATTTTGTTTAATTGTCATTTAGTCAATATCTGCTTAAGTTCAAGATATATTTAGGTTTTTAATATTTCACTCGAGATTTTGTGTTTTTTTTTTAATAACCGGCCCTACACAGATTCCTAAATGTCTTTTTTGTTTGATCCTTGTTGTTATTTCCTTCATAGAAACAAATTTTCTTTAACCAATGGTGAGATAATTACTCGATTTAGGGTACAAATTTTCTCTAATTGCCTTAAAATTTTGCATCAAATAATTGTAGATACTGTGAAACGAAATTAGACTCACCATAAAAAATTTCATTTTTCATGCGCCGTACTAATAAACGATTATTTTTTTTTTACAAATCATCCTAAAAATATCAACCGAAGTGGGGATTTCCTGATGAGTAAATATATTATTTTTATACAAATACCAAAATCTATTTGAATAGAGTTTGGGGTTTGGGGGAATTCCGTTCCGGAATTCTCGGGAAAGTTTTATTTCTTGTGTGTTTCTCATTGACTTGGTCCCTTTGTATGTACCTAGGTTATTCCATCTATCTTCAGCATTCTGAAGAATGTGAGGATTCTGATCTTTATAAAACCTAACGGATTTGCTGCTAAAATGGCGTTGGAGATATCAAAAGCTGATAATAGCACCTATCCGCAGGGATACAAACAAGGACAAGCACAGATCATTCTTGCATTGTCTAACTAATAGGGAAGTGGTAGTATAAGAGTTCAGTGGGAGAAGTGCCGCGAGAAGAATTTCGTGACACTAAATGATCGCAGAAATTTGTAATAACTTTTAAAATTTTTGTGTTTTATATCTTATTGGAAAGATAATCCAAAATAGACAAATTTAGTGCCAAAATTTTTGTAAAAATCTTAGTGCCACCAGTTAACGTGGTAACTTTAAGTATTCGTCAAGAGGAAGAGACTCCTGTAAAATAAAGAATTTTATATTTGAGACTCAAGTATACAGTCAGAAGGACTAAAAGATGAAAATTTGGAATTTTTTTTTCAAATTCACAAATCAGAGGGTGGGGAGGGTATATTGGGTTTGTGCTGATGTTTGTAACATACAATAATATTGGTACTATACCCACCTTAAAGTATACCAGTCGGCTTAGAATCACTTTCTCGCTATGTCCGTCCGTCCATGTAAACCTCGATCTCAAACTACAGGTTGCAATTTGGAAGATAATTCAATGAAATTTAGTACATGATCTTCTATTGTCCCATGGAAAATGATTAAGATCGGTCTATTATTTCACCTAGCCCCCATACAACTGAACCCCCAAATAGGGCTTGTAAATCTTGTGATCAAACTACAGGTCGCAATTTTGAAGATAATTCAATGCACATAATCTTCTATTGTACCATAGACGAGGCCTATTGAAAATTGTTAACATAGGTCCATTACAACTGAACCCGCCGAATAGGGCTTTTAAGTTCATGTTTAATATATTCGTATCTCGACAAAAAGCTGCAAAACCAAGTTCTATACGAGCCTTAATGACCCTCATGAATTTTATAATTATTGGGCCTCATTTGACTCTGGCCCCTATACAAAGACCCCTTCAAAATATGACTTAAATGTCCAGAATTTTATTCAACATTAATTAGCTTAAGTATATCTGAGGCAAGGTACAATTCCACTTAAATGCTTTATTATGAAAACTAAATCACATTTTATTTTTATAACTGGTATAAGGTATTAGATGGTCGGCCTCACCCAAATATAATTTCTTACTTGTATTCCAAATTTCAGCATATTTGAGCTACAGAAAATGGTTAAAAAATTCAGTTAAAATTAAAAAAAAAAAAACGGTGTAGATGTGCAGAAATTATATGACTAATGCATCCGTAATTTTTATGAAATTTGATATACTTTTTTTAGCTTAAGCCTTATTGATTATAGTAGAAATCCATTCATGACTCATTCCACTTAGAACATAAACAAGTATCCTCTCAGAATATCATATAAACGTTACCTAGGTTTTAACACAACTATTTAATTATAAATACTCAGTATTTAATAATGTTCTAAATAGAGTACTGTATGGTCGACCAATCTTGACTTTAATTTCTAACTTGTTTTCTACTAAAATTTTTACCTAAAATACAATTCAATTATACATACTTACATAATTATATTTGTACTAAAAACAAAAGAAAACTCAATATTTGAAGTTGTCAACTAAAAACAAATTATATTTTATATTTATTATTGATCAAGATATTCTTCATTCATTGGTGAAAAATAAAAAAATGATAAATAATGTCGTTTAAGACGACTTCATTTGTAGCAGCACATGTAAGTACATTCGATTCCTTATGGCACTTGAGGGACACTTAAATCAAATTGGGGATTTTTCTCCGCAACTTATGGCGCGGTATATATGTTTATGCCCTATGGTATAGGGCATAAACATATATACTTATATATTCATATATATGTACTACGTCCATTAGTTGGGGATTTTTTATATTGTTGACTGTGAATTAGTGAGAATGCAGCGTGTGCTTAAAATATTTGCAATTCTTTTATTTTCTCTTGTTCTCATGATGTGATTTTTTAAAAGATTACTGAAAATGATTAATTTATCATCTTAACCATTATCTAAATGAATGCATTTATCATTTGGAGTTATTAAAAGTCGCCTCATCTAAAAATGATGTAATAAAGGCTGGAAGTACTTTTGGCTACCGCTCTCGTAGGTTTGTTATACCCTTCACCACTTCATTGGGGAGGTTATATTAATATTTTACTAATGTTTTTAACGCACAAAACTTATGGTCCTATCAGATTATACTCATCGACTTAGAATCATTTTCTGAGTGGATAAAACCGTCCGACCCTCTGTCCATGTTGAAGAAACTACATCAATGTAATTTGATATCGGTTTCATTATTTTATCTTGCATCTTACAGGTGGATCCCCAACTTGGGCTTTGGACTTAATTTTTATAGCAATAGTACTTTTTGTACCCTTCACCATCATAAGTGATGATAGTGGGTAATATGTATGTTACTCATTCCGAGTGTAACAACGAGAAATATTCGGTTCGCTAGACAGGAGGTAGATTCGCATACATACATACATACATACATACATACATACATACATACATACATACATACATACATTCATACATACATACATACATACATACATACATACATACATACATACATACATACATACATACATACATACATACATACATACAGACTACATACATACATACATACATACATACATACATACATACTACATACATACATACATACATACTACATACATACATACATACATACATACATACATACATACATACATACAGACATACATACATACATACATACATACATACATACATACATACAACATACATACATACATCATACATACATACATACATACATACATACATACATACATACATACATACATACATACATACATACATACATACATACATACATACATACAGACATACATACATACATACATACATACATACATACATACATACATACATACATACATACATACATACATACATACATACATACATACATACATACAATACATACATACATACATACATACATACATACTACATACATACATACATACATACATACATACATACATACATACATACATACATACATACATACATACATACATACTACATACATACATACATACATACATACATACATACATACATACATACATACATACATACATACATACAATACATACATACATACATACATACCATACATACATACATACATACATACATACATACATACATACTACATACATACATACATACATACATACATACATACATACATACATACATACATACATACATACATACATACATACATACATACATACATACATACATACATACATACTACATACATACATACATACATACATACATACATACACAACATACATACATACATACATACATTACATACATACATCCTACATACATACATACATACATACATACATACATACATACATACATACATACATACATACATACATACATACATACATACATACATACATACATACATACATACATACATACATACATACATACATACATACATACATACATACATACATACATACATACATCCTAACTAACTAACTTCAAATTGGAGCCTCCATTTTCATAACAAATTTATTTCCAGAAAAATTCCTTTCTGTCCCACTGTGCATTGTAGAAATACTGTGGAATAGCTATAAATATGTTGATAATGTAATGTTTGGGATCTTTATTAAATATCAAAATGATTATTGGTCTATAATTTTTCCAAGATCCTTATCTGTTAGAAATATTTGTTATTAAATTTCATTACTCGTTACTTTCTTTCCAGTATCCTAACACATATATGGAACAATTTTGCAAATCATTACACCCCGACTTGGAATTAGGTACAATTTGTGTAGCTTGGTTTCGTCAGGCAGTAAGGCACTGTACCGAATTACTGAACGAAGTAAAACCCTCCACAACATTCTTCTGGACGACAGTAAAGAATTTTATATTTCCGGATAGAACGACAGAGCTTCTGTCTCAGAAAATACCTATCGGAATACATCCCAAACGTTTGTCGCTGCAAGATTGTAATTCACTACTTCTGGACATTGTTAGTGACTATATTGAAAGGGCACCACGCTATGGAGCAGAGTCCAAAACAAATGTCATGCTGTGGCAAGTTTTATACTCGCTTATGGGTGTTATGGCCTTAGGTTCCTTACTGGTGGGCATTATTTTTACTTACAATAAATATGGCCAATCTAAGACAAAGATAAATCTATTGGATGAAATTTTTAAACCCGATAAACGTATGCAGGTTCTTTGTAAACGTAGTTTACGTTTAGCTAAAGCAGAGTTGAGGAATATTCATATTAAACCAGTGGCAAAGGTAGAAGATCTTGTTCCAGCTGATGGAGACAATGTTTTGGCCCTGAAAATCGGTACGAAATACGAGTTTTTGGAATCAATAGTAACGGGCAGTGTACAGTCAGTAGGGAAATTTCACCGACTTTACGATCAGCATAACAAAACAAAGGGGGATTTAAAAATAGAGTCCTTAAATAGAGCCATGAAATTTGTGGATAATAATTGTAAAAGAATTCATCTCTTGCTAATGTTTGAACAAAATGTGATTTATGAAGAGGAGGAGCCGAAACGAAAACCTAAAAGCATTAGCCCTAGAATAAAAACTGCATCACCACCACCCGGAAAAGTAACATCAGCAACCTCCAAAGGAATGTTAAATGCTAGATTAGAGGGAGGAGGTTTCAACTATAAAACTGTACCTGGTATTGGCATGGCTTCAGTTTCTTCCCGATCTAATAGCCCTAAACCTTTGAACTCCCCCAAACAAGTGACTACACCTCGTTCAAGTGGTATACCCTGTAAACGTTCCTCTTCAACCAGGAAATCGAAATAGAATAAATCTGGCAACTACTTTTAACTTTTTAAATATAATAATTTATAATAAAACACAATTTTATTGTAAGTTTTTTGCGCAATTTATTTATTGCGTAGTTGCCATACTTAATAAAACAAAAATTTCTTATTAAAACTTATTTCAATATTTGCTGTTTTAACATGGGTTTTAACAAATAATTTAAACAATATTTTAATTAACAAAACAAATTACATAAAAATTCTGTTTATTTATCAACTAAAATAAAAAAATGAAATATTTATACATAAAAAATTTATAATAAATTGTTAAATTTATTTAGCTTCTCTGTTTCTCTTAAATAAAATAATAAAACATATGAAAAAGTTATAAAAAAAGTGTATGAAAATGAATAGAAAGAAATACGATCACAATAAACATTGAAGAGTGTATAGAAGAAGGTAAATATAAATACAATAAAGAGAGAGAGAGAGGGAGAATTACTGTCATGGAAAGGATTGAACAGGATAATCAAAAAGAGGAAGAGCTGGAAATAAAGTGTAGTGTGTATATAGATTATCGTTAGAATTGGAAACTGCTGATAGTGCCCGGAAATGTGGGCTAACTTTACAAAAAATAGGGATTAATACAACTCGGTGATGTATAAGTGAATGTGTTGCTGTTGACATGTACATATGTGTGTGCAGTTGTATTTGGGATTTTTCATCTTGTGTCGGTGTGCTTAAAATGTAAGTATGTGTTTTATTATTAGCGTTGCCACATGATTTATGTTTTGTAATAGTTGCCAACTATTTGCCGTTTAATATGTGTATTAATTAATCTCTTGTTTAGCTTGGAAGTACACTGTTTCTTTTGTTAATATTTCTTTAATGCTGTTTTAGAAATACATTAAGTTTTAATGTATTTATTAGAAGAATCTACCTCTGGGTCCACCGGGAGCAGCTACTGGTGGTGGTGTTGGAATATGAGCACCTTCGGCACGGAAACCATTTTCATCGGCAATATAAGTGATGGTATATACTACACCATCAGGTCCGGTGTAGGAGTAAGAGCCTTGCATTACCTGAAAATATTGGGAAAAATTAAAAATAAGACGACGTAGGAGAGAATAGAGTAAAAGCGATAGATTTTCAGACAATAGACCGATATATCAGACCATAGTATTGACTATAGATCAGTCTATAGTCTAGATTATAGATCAGTCTATATTCCTGACTATAGTTCAGTCTATAGTATTGACTATAGGTTTGTCTATAGTCTTGATTATAGATCAGTCTATAGTTTTGACTATAGATATGTCTATATTCTTGAATATAGATCAGCCTATAGTCTTGACTATAGATCAGTTTATAGTCTAGACTATAGATCAGTCTAAAGTCTATAGTCTTGACTATAGATAAGTCTATAGTCTTGACTATAGATCAGTCTATAGTCTTGACTATAGATCAGTCTATAGTCTTGACTATAGATCAGTCTATAGTCTTGACTATAGATCAGTCTATAGTCTTGACTATAGATCAGTCTATAGTCTTGACTATAGATCAGTCTATAGTCTTGACAATAGACTAAAGTCTTGACTATAGATCAGTCTATAGTCTTGACTTTAGATCAGTCTATAGTCTTGACTATAGAACAGTCTATAGTCTTGACTATAAATCTGTTTATAGTCTTGACTAAAGATCAGTCTATAGTCTTGACTATAGATCAGTCTATAGCCTTGACTATAGATCAGCCTATAATCTTGACTATAGATCAGTCTAGTTAAAAATGTGGTAGAATGATCTATAGTCAAGACTATAGACTAATCTACAGAGAAGACTATAGACTGATCTAAAGTCAAGACTTTAGATCAGTCTATAGTCTTGACTATAGATCAGTTTATAGTCTTGACTATAAATCAGTTTATAGTCTTGACCATAGATCAGTCTATAGTCTTGACTTTAGATCGGTCTATAGTGTCTTGACGATAGATCAGTCTATAGTCTTGACTATAGATCAGTCTATAGTCTTCTCTGTAGATTAGTCTATAGTCTTGACTATAGATCATTCTACCACATTTTTAACTATAGAGCAGTGTATATTCATGATTATAGACAGATCTATAATCTTGGTTAGGGACCCGACTGTGGTCTTGGCTGTAGAGCAGTCTATAGTCTTGGCTATATGCCAGTCTATAGTCTTAGCTCTATAAAAGATTACAACCGGTCTATAGACTTGGGTATAGGCCAGTCTATAGTTGGCCATACACCAAACTATAGTCTTGGGTATAGACCAGACGTCTGGTCTGCAGACTATAGTTTAGACTTGTCGAAATTCTAAGCTACAGACTATATGTTTTAAGCGTTTTCTTGCCAATAATGTGGTAACTTTTTTAATTCTTTTATTATATCCTAAAAGTATGCCTCAAGTATATAGCATTTGTCAAAGCTTTAAAAGCTTCCTCAATAGTTTTTTTAGCCTAAAACTATGCTGCATACTTAAAATTATTTGTATATTTTTATTTTGGCCAACAACTGCTTATTGCAGTTACCGCCCATGTCAATTTTAAACTGATTACATCTACATTATGCAAATAACACTTTGGCATATACAATATTTAGGTCACATTACGGTTTTTAAACCAAAGAAAAAACTCCTAACTGATTAAATAAAACCAAAAACAAACATAAAAAACTAATAATAATTACCTGAGCTTCTAATTGAGGATTGCCTGCATTCTTAAGATAACCAGCTTCATCAGCACGTATACCATTGCTAGTTTCATAACTGTAAAATAAAAATTAGAAAACAAAAAAATCATTAAATTAGTTTAGTGACATTAAGATTGCACTCAATAATTTTATGTAAATTGTAGACCCACTGAAACAAAAAAAAAAAAAATGAAAAAAAAAATCAAAACTAAAACACACTATATGCTAATATTTGTGCGAATAATGTTTGGCGTTATAACGTTTTCGTAAAAGGCCAAATTTTTTGTAATTTCTTAACAAAGTTTTTCGTTTCTAACTATGAAATTCATGATGGCAAGGTGTGTTCTTTCGTTTAAAGTTAAACGTTATTTTTAGTTTTTATGTTAATTTTAAATTTTTTTACTAAACATGTGTTGACGATGATTAACTATTAGTCTACTCACTTGTAGTTGTATGAACCATCTGGATTCAAATTGAAATCCTGTTTAAGTATCACAGCATTGGCGTCGAAAGAATTTCCACGTGGTGGTGGTATACCACGTTGAGCCGACACAACAACAGTCATACAGCAGAGAACAGCAAATACAATGGATTTCATGATCTGTTTGTGTGCGAAAAAAATATATAATATCATTTACATAAATTTCATTTACACGAATATTTTGATTGATGTTTATAATTAAGTTGAAATTTTATAATATTTATTTAGTTCCAACATTTTGAGTGGCTTGTACGTATTAAGTAATATTTCTGTGGAACTAAAGGTTATCAGTTTAATGTCACGTTTCAATTAGTTAATATTTATTTATTAACTAAGTTGTAAAAATAATGCATGTAGGGTTTTATAGAAAATTAAATTTTTTAAATGCTATGTAACATTATGTAGTTGAAAATTTCTATAATTATAAGTTAAATTTAATTAAGGAACTTAGAGATGACCGGTTGTATGAGGACTGGGTGAAATAATGTATCGAATTCTACCATTTTCTATAGCTGTCGTTCTTAAAGCAATTTCATCATTTCATTTCTTGTAGCCTGCTTACGGGTTTTACTTGGACACACAGACTGACATAGATTAATCGACTTTGATTGGTATACTTTACGGTGGGTGTAGGATCAATATTTTTGAGTGTTATAAACCTCAGCATTAACGCATAATACGCTTCTCACTGTAGAGGTGTAGAGTATAAATATTGTGCTTTCAATATTATGATTGGGGTTTTTCACGGAAAAATAATACTAATAATAATAATACCAGCAATCATTTTCATTTTACCATTAACAAGTTCTCAAAATTTTTACTTTTGGAATAATGTCAACAATTTAATTTTTGCCTTTCAATTGCCATTACTTTAGATTTTAGTAGAGAAATATGAGGGATGCATAAAAGCTGATAAATAACAATATTTGGCCCATTTTTGTACACATTTCTGTTAAATTTTAGCGTTTAGTTAAGTTATTTTTTTAATGGTGTATATTTTGTTCTAATAAAAAACTTAGTTGGCCGATTTACTCATTTTAGTACCAAAGATTTACTAATCAATTAATAATTATTTTCATATTTTGCTTTTCTGATTATACCTTTCTCAAAGAAAAGAAACTTTGAAAAGAAGAAAAAATTAAACTATCATAATTTACCAAATTATCGTCTACTTGTGGTGCCTGGTACGCGTTGCAGGCTTTTGATTGGAAAAGTGGAATCTACACGTAAATGTCTATATAGCCCTCAGATCGGTTTTGCGGTTTTAGTGTAATTAAATTTTAAACTTTACAGGAACACTTCTCACGATCTCTGAAACATATATTTGAAATTTTATCCTATCAGATTCCGAAGTTCCTCAGTTTATCGATTACGAACAAACGTTAATATTTTATTTAATCTGATTTACTTTAAGACTGTCCTAATTAAAGAAGATCGTTTGAAGTCAGAATGTTTTACCATATATCGTGATGACTTGAAAATAAAAACCAGATTTAGATAACAGAGTATAATATGTTTCTTATCTAAGTTTAAATAAAATTTTTAGGTTAGATTCTCTTTTACTTGGAAGTTTTGATGTGAAGTGCTTTATGAAGGCTCTAACGCCTTCATAAACGTTTTTTCAACGTTGAAAAAACGTTTTAAATAATTTCCTTCTACTTATCAAAGTGTTATTTGGTCTGCTGATTCCGAATATGGAAATAAAAAAGTTGTATCACCCACCAATTTTTCACATTTTTATCTTTCAGTCCTTCTGACTGAATACTTGAGTCCCAAATATAAAATTCTTCAATTTTACAGAAGTTGCGAATATTGGTAGTTTCAACCTCCAGACTAATACTTAAAGTTAAAGATATGCTTTCTGAAAATATGTTGCGCTATCGGAACATGTTAACTGGTGGCACCAAGGCTCTGAAAGGTTTTCACAGGCATTATTCTTTACTGTTATACATTTTATATAAACTTTTAACGATTAAATAATTCGAGATAATGTCAAATTTACATCTGAAGTTTTAGTAAACGCGAATAACGTTAATCCTCAAAACCTTGAAGGTCAAACCCAATCCGATAGGAATGTGTGGTAGTCCTGGATTTCATTACGACAAAAGCCTGACAGTGGCAAAGAATGTGTTTCAGAGTTTCATGTCATCTTCGCATGCTCTACATTCGTCTAAATTCTCGTCAAATTTTGTATAGTTGTATTAAACTAAAGTTATGCTTTTGACGTTTACAACATAAAATCAATCTCACACCCGATACCCATCCTAACTTATATCGATTTCAAATACAATTTGATGACGTCCATCCGTCCATATAAACCTTGTAATAAAACCACAAGTAGCAGAAAAAACTTAAAATCAAACAATTAGTTAGCAGACTTAATTATCAGTAATCCATTAACTTGTTGCATTAACAATAAACGCACATTTTAATACGTTAAATAATTAACATTAATATGAACAAATACTTTTTTTTTAAACAACAAATACCGCTAACAAAAGTCATGTACTTAAGTGCAACTAAATATTGGTTTAAATAAATGTTAGGCTTATTTTGACAAATGTTAATATGACAGTTGGAACTGACGCTTTATAGTTAATTAAAGAATTACATTTTCCATAAAGAATGTATTAACCAATTTAGTAATTTTTCAATTTTAACATATTTTTTTAAAATTTTAAAAAAATTGTAAAGAATTTTATTTAAATATTTTTTTATTTTTAATAATTTTTATGTAAATTATTCACAAGTTTTTAAATTTACTATTAGTTTTTGCTTATTTTATATTATTATTTCTTTAGATTGATTGTCCTTTCTAGAGGAACTCACTTTATTTATATATTTTTTGGATTGTTCAACAAAACACGTAAACTTTTCGTTAATTAAGTATGGAGTTGGGTGTCCTTAGTTGGAATATTTATAAAAATAAGTTTTAAAGAACACACGCGTTTTGAGAACGAGACACGTCTACGTTTGAAGGCTCGTCAAGTGTTATTTGTTGTTTGTTCAGAAAATGCAAACGTTTTTATACTATTGCAACTCAAATGAAAATAAATTGTTTGCAAATCTAAAGCCGTTAGATTTAGACTCTTCTTTAATTTAACTTGGGCAGCACCATCACTACAAACAACTACCAACAACATTACCATCAACACTACAACCACCACGCCATACAGCAGCCACATCAAGTGCATTTAATGTAACACAACAATAACTGCAACAGTAAGCCCTACTACTTCTAACAATCATACACAAATACTGGCACTCTCACACACACCTCAAAAAAAGATGCAACTGATCTGCTGATTGTTTGGTATAAACATCCGCATACAAAGACAACAAGAAACACAACATCTTTAAACAAAAAGTGAGAGTTTTTATTGAAACAACAAAACTGGCTTATTGAGAGAGAATGAATGCACTTGCAATGAAAACAATAAAAAGCTTTGATTAAACAACAACAACTACTACTACTTTAGAATTTAACCAAAGCTTAATGCAATTGTTTTTTTTTTATTGTTACTCAATGTTTGTTTTCGTATTTAATACGAGCAGTGTGTCGTATACGTAATATTGCAAGTGAAGGCAACAAGTGAGTTGACGATTTTCTTGTTGTTGTCGGATTGTTTGTGTTTGAAAACAACAAAACAAATAAATAAAAACAATTGCAGCAGCAGCAGCACATCGAAAAAAACATCTTTAAAAATTGGGCGTTGCGCATGCTCAATTGGTTTTTTTTTTGCAAATTGTGCGATCTGATTTTTTTACATGTTTGTAATGTTTCCAAAGCTAAATTTAAAGTTTATAGCAAATATTTTGAAACAGGTGGGTCCAAGCTGTTTTTGATGTTCGAAATTAGAAATAACAATCATGGAACAAAAAACCTTAAAATGGTGTATGATAGTTTATGGAAGTTCCCACAAATTTTCTCCTTTAGGTTTAAAAATGGGAAATGTAGGTCCAGATTGGCTCATGGTTATTACGGCAATTCACTAAGCGCAAACAAAGAAGTAGAGTTAAAATGACTCGGTTTGGCTAAATAACACCACTCGTCAGGTGGCTATTTACTAATAATGAAGTTATATCAGAAAATCAAGATAACTCATAAAGGTTAAACACAATGTTGTTGCCAAGAAATCAATTTCTCTTGACAGCAGGGACCGTGCATTCATAGAGAAGGTGGTAAAACATCTCTCTGCTTTTTTTCAGTCTACGCTAGTCAATAGTCTAGCTAATATTCAATATTCTGGTCAATAGTTTAGTCATTGTCTAGTCAATAGTCTAGCCTATAGTCTAGTCTATAGTCCAGTATATAGTCTAGTCTATAGTCTAGTCTATAGTCTAGTCTATAGTGTAGTCTATAGTCTAGTCTATAGTCTAGTCTATAGTCTAGTCTATAGTCTAGTCTATAGTCTAGTCTATAGTCTAGTCTATAGTCTAGTCTATAGTCTAGTCTATAGTCTAGTCTATAGTCTAGTCTATAGTCTAGTCTATAGTCTAGTCAATAGTCTAGTCTATAGTCTAGTCTATAGTCTAGTCTATAGTCTAGTCTATAGTCTAGTCTATAGTCTAGTCTATAGTTTAGTCTATAGTCTAGTCTACAGTCTAGCCTATAGTCTAGTCTATAGTCTAGTCTATAGTCTAGCCTATAGTCTAGTCTATAGTCTAGTCTATAGTCTAGTCTATAGTCTAGTCTATAGTCTAGTCTATAGTATAGTCTATAGTCTAGTCTATAGTCTAGTCTATAGTCTAGTCTATAGTCTAGTCTATAGTCTAGTCTATAATCTAGTCTATAGTCTAGTCTATAGTCTAGTCTATAGTCTAGTCTATAGTCTAGTCTATAGTCTAGTCTATAGTCTAGTCTATAGTCTAGTCTATAGTCTAGTCTATAGTCTAGTCTATAGTCTAGTCTATAGTCTAGTCTATAGTCTAGTCTATAGTCTAGTCTATAGTCTAGTCTATAGTCTAGTCTATAGTCTAGTCTATAGTCTAGTCGTCTATAGTCTAGTCTATAGTCTAGTCTAGTCTATGGTCTAGTCTATAGTCTAGTCTAGTCTATAGCCTAGTCTATAGTCTAGTCTATAGTCTAGTCTATAGTCTAGTCTATAGACTAGTCTATAGTCTAGTCTATAGTCTAGTCTATAGTCTAGTCTATAGTCTAGTCTATAGTCTAGTCTATAGTCTAGTCTATAGTCTAGTCTATAGTCTAGTCTATAGTCTAGTCTATAGTCTAGTCTATAGTCTAGTCTATAGTCTAGTCTATAGTCTAGTCTATAGTCTAGTCTATAGTCTAGTCTATAGTCTAGTCTATAGTCTAGTCTATAGTCTAGTCTATAGTCTAGTCTAGTCTATAGTCTAGTCTATAGTCTAGTCTAGTCTATAGTCTAGTCTATAGTCTAGTCTATAGTCTAGTCTATAGTCTAGTCTATAGTCTAGTCTATAGTCTAGTCTATAGTCTAGTCTATAGTCTAGTCTATAGTCTAGTCTATAGTCTAGTCTATAGTCTAGTCTATAGTCTAGTCTATAGTCTAGTCTATAGTCTAGTCTATAGTCTAGTCTATAGTCTAGTCTATAGTCTAGTCTATAGTCTAGTATATAGTCTAGTCTATAGTCTAGTCTATAGTCTAGTCTATAGTCTAGTCTATAGTCTATAGTCTAGTCTATAGTCTAGTCTATAGTCTAGTCTATAGTCTAGTCTATAGTCTAGTCTATAGTCTAGTCTATAGTCTAGTCTATAGTCTAGTCTATAGTCTAGTCTATAGTCTAGTCTATAGTCTAGTCTATAGTCTAGTCTATAGTCTAGTCTATAGTCTAGTCTATAGTCTAGTCTATAGTCTAGTCTATAGTCTAGTCTATAGTCTAGTCTATAGTCTAGTCTATAGTCTAGTCTATAGTCTAGTCTATAGTCTAGTCTATAGTCTAGTCTATAGTCTAGTCTATAGTCTAGTCTATAGTCTAGTCTATAGTCTAGTCTATAGTCTAGTCTATAGTCTAGTCTATAGTCTAGTCTATAGTCTAGTCTATAGTCTAGTCTAGTCAATAGTCTAGTCTAGTCTATAGTCTAGTCTATAGTCTAGTCTATAGTCTAGTCTATAGTCTAGTCTATAGTCTAGTCTATAGTCTAGTCTATAGTCTAGTCTATAGTCTAGTCTATAGTCTAGTCTATAGTCTAGTCTATAGTCTAGTCTATAGTCTAGTCTATAGTCTAGTCTATAGTCTAGTCTATAGTCTAGTCTAGTCTATAGTCTAGTCTATAGTCTAGTCTAGTCTATAGTCTAGTCTATAGTCTAGTCTATAGTCTAGTCTATAGTCTAGTCTATAGTCTAGTCTATAGTCTAGTCTATAGTCTAGTCTATAGTCTAGTCTATAGTCTAGTCTATAGTCTAGTCTATAGTCTAGTCTATAGTCTAGTCTATAGTCTAGTCTATAGTCTAGTCTATAGTCTAGTCTATAGTCTAGTCTATAGTCTAGTCTATAGTCTCTATAGTCTAGTCTATAGTCTAGTCTATAGTCTAGTCTATAGTCTAGTCTATAGTCTAGTCTATAGTCTAGTCTATAGTCTAGTCTATAGTCTAGTCTATAGTCTAGTCTATAGTTTAGTCTATAGTCTAGTCTATAGTCTAGTCTATAGTCTAGTCTATAGTCTAGTCTATAGTCTAGTCTATAGTCTAGTCTATAGTCTAGTCTATAGTCTAGTCTATAGTTTAGTCTATAGTCTAGTCTATAGTCTAGTCTATAGTCTAGTCTATAGTCTAGTCTATAGTTTAGTCAATAGTCTAGTCTATAGTCTAGTCTATAGCCTAGTCTATAGTCTAGTGTATAGTCTAGTCCATAGTCTAGTCTATAGTCTAGTCTATAGTCTAGTCTATAGTCTAGTCTATAGTCTAGTCTAGTCTATAGTCTAGTCTATAGTCTAGTCTATAGTCTAGTCTATAGTCTAGTCTATAGTCTAGTCTATAGTCTAGTCTATAGTCTAGTCTATAGTCTAGTCTATAGTCTAGTCTATAGTCTAGTCTATAGTCTAGTCTATAGTCTAGTCTATAGTCTAGTCTATAGCCTAGTCTATAGTCTAGTCTATAGTCTAGTCTATAGTCTAGTCTATAGTCTAGTCTATAGTCTAGTCTATAGTCTAGTCTATAGTCTAGTCTATTGTCTAGTCTATAGTCTGGTCTATAGTCTAGCCTATAGTCTAGTCTATAGTCTAGTCTATAGTCTAGTCTATAGTCTAGTCTATAGTCTAGTCTATAGTCTAGTCTATAATCTAGTCTATAGTCTAGTTTATAGTCTAGTCTAAAGTCTAGTCTATAGTCTAGTCTATAGTCTAATCTATAGTCTAGTCTATAGTCTAGTCTAGTCTATAGTCTAGTCTATAGTCTAGTCTATAGTCTAGTCTATAGTCTAGTCTATAGTCTAGTCTATAGTCTAGTCTATAGTCTAGTCTATAGTCTAGTCTATAGTCTAGTCTATAGTCTCGTCTATAGTCTAGTCTATAGTCTAGTCTATAGTCTAGTCTATAGTCTAGTCTATAGTCTAGTCTATAGTCTAGTCTATAGGCTATAGTCTAGTCTATAGTCTAGTCTATAGTCTAGTCTATAGGCTATAGTCTAGTCTATAGTCTAGTCTATAGGCTATAGGCTATAGTCTAGTCTATAGTCTAGTCTTTAGGCTATAGTCTAGTCTATAGTGTTGTCTATAGTCTAGTCTATAGTCTAGTCTATAGTATAGTCTATAGTCTAGTCTATAGTCTAGTCTATAGTCTAGTCTATAGTCTAGTCTATAGTCTAGTCTATAGTCTAGTCTATAGTCTAGTCTATAGTCTAGTCTATAGTCTAGTCTATAGTGTAGTCTATCTAGTCTATAGTCTAGTCTATAGTCTAGTCTATAGTCTAGTCTATAGTCTAGTCTATAGTCTAGTCTATAGTCTAGTCTATAGTCTAGTCTATAGTCTATTCTATAGTCTAGTCTATATAGTCTAGTCTATAGTCTAGTCTATAGTCTAGTCT